AACATCATCAGAGAAAACATTTTCCGATTCAGCTTTCAAAGATTTTTTCCGTTGTCTAATTCCGATCTCCCGATTTTTCCGTTTCTGCTGTGCTGACTCCGACGAGAAATTTNCAGACTACCAACCGAGAATCTGGTCCGATCTGACTCGTCCAGCTGCCTGACTCGCTGAGTCAGCGTTCTGCAAACTCGGTCTCTCTTGGATGAGTTGTTAGTTGGAAAAGAGAGGATCTATTGCAAGAAGAGCTGCCATGGTAATCAATCACATCCTCTTCGTTATTTTCAGTTGCTAATTGCTGTTTTTTTGTTTGAATGGTTTATTGGATTTGATCAAGTTAAAAAGGATTGATTTTGTGACAGTTTTATGTTTTTCTCTATCTGGTTCTGATTTGGTGTTTTGTTGGTAGATAGATTGTTTGTATGAGATTTGCATTTGGTTGGCGATCTCTAGATGCTCTTCTTGTGAACTTTCCAATATAAAAACTAATTTTTGAGAGATTCTTTAGTCGAATTCTCTTTTGATTTGACCCTTATCGGAAATGTCGGGTTATGCAACATTTCCTAAGTGGCTCTTGTAAATTTGGATATGTTTTTTGACTTCTATAATTAGTTGCTCCTCAACGTGCCTAAGATATTATGTCATAGTGAAGTCATGTAAACTTCTTCAGGCTAACCAATGCTTAAGTCTTCTTTATTCAGGGCTGATGATTTAGTTTCACAAGTTAAGATTTAATTGCTTGATGATGTGCTAGATTCTTTAGAAGGAAACTCTGGAAATGACCACTGTCATGTTGTGTTTGGCCGGGAGTGTACAATGTATCTAGATCATATTATCGTGAATTCTGTATTCTTAGAAAGTTATGTTGGCTATGTGGAATTTTTTATTCAACATTTTCTACTGTGGGTTTGGGTATGTACGTCTGGAGCCATATAGTTAAATTTGTCGAGCTGATGATATTGTGGCATTTAGAGAAGAATAAGTTTCTTGCCTTTTGCTCTATAGCTTTGATGTTAGTATTTTTTACGCTTAATGCATGTTTTTCATATACACATGAAACTTGGATGAATTCAAAAAAGGGGTTTAATCAAATCAATGGATTATGAGAGCTCGGGAGATGCCTACTAGAGATAGTCAATACCTTTTTTCATTTTAGTCAATATTCCCTCTTACTATACTTTGGACAGTATACCTAAACTATTTGATTCAGTACCTCTTTCTGATTTTCTCCTATGAAACATGCCAACAATGTGGGTTCGTCAATCACTGAATTTGTTCGAAGCTCATGGAATGCCTTCTTCACTGTTTCTTATGTTATAATTATATTTTTCTTGTAGAAGTAAGAAATTTCTTCTGGTTTCTACCTCTATTGCTTATGCAAGGGGATCATTGTATTGTTAACATTAGAAATTCTTTTAGGCATATGTTTCTCACTGATCTCTACACAAATCTTAGAAAGCTTTCTTTTAAGTGTTTTTGTGGTTTAAGTGTAACTTCCATCGATTCACATTAGAACAACATCTTTGTGCCGGATTTTTGATCACCCAAGAATTCATAAACTTATGAAACAGTTTGTGTGAGGTTATTGAAAACCCTGTACCTCAACGTTCAATCTCTATGTCCTGTAGGTTGGCCCGGTCAATATAATAGTTGGTTCTCATGTTTGGATTGAAGATCCAGGAGTGGCATGGATTGATGGAGAAGTTGTCAAAATTAATGGCGAAGATGTTCATGTACAGACCACAGCTGGGAAGACTGTAAGTTGTCTATTCTCTTGACGTTTTTGCATGTAATTTTCCTTTTGTGAAAGAAAGTCACTGGAAAGGGTGCTCCTGCTTTAGATGTCTGTTTACCTTTGAGCAAAATGTCACTAGTCCTCTAGTCTCTATCGCCGTCGGACTTGTTACTTCTCTAACATATGAGTCGCTTTTCCTGTGAAACCAGATATTGTATCAATCATTAGTTGAAATTTATTTTCAGGTTGTGGCCAATATCGCGAACGTATTTCCAAAGGATACAGAAGCGTCCCCTGGGGGTGTTGATGACATGACAAAGCTCTCATATCTACATGAACCAGGTGTTTTGAATAACTTGGCCATGAGATATGAGCTGAACGAAATTTATGTAAGTTGTTATACAATTTCTGTGCTGAATACTCATGAAATCACATATTGAGTTCTTAAGTAGTACAAAACATTCCTAAATATTTCTGTTAATATATGTTTTTGCAGACATATACGGGAAACATCTTGATTGCTGTAAATCCATTTCAAAGGTTACCACATCTCTATGATACTCATATGATGGAGCAGTATAAAGGAGCAGGTTTTGGTGAATTAAGCCCCCATGTGTTTGCAATTGCAGAAGTTGCTTACAGGTAGTTAGGACCAATCAATGATTCCACTAGCAGAAATTCTCTTAATCACTCTTTACTCGTACATTTTCTCATTCTAGTCATTTGCTTCTCTGGGTAGGGCGATGATTAATGAGGGTAAGAGCAACTCAATTCTTGTTAGTGGGGAAAGTGGTGCGGGTAAGACTGAGACCACAAAGATGCTTATGCGCTACCTTGCTTACCTTGGTGGTCGATCCGGTGTTGAAGGAAGGACAGTGGAACAGCAAGTTCTGGAGGTGAGGTGTCACAAATTTATGTTTCTTTTATTTTGGTTTTGAAGCTTGTCATGGAGAAGAGCATATCTCTACACATATACTTGTAGCTACTGTATTGATATTTAGAGAGACTTGTAATGCTAACCTGATTAACTATCTTGGTTTTGTTGTTGGTGGTATACAGTCAAATCCAGTTCTTGAAGCTTTTGGCAACGCCAAAACTCTCAGGAATAACAACTCCAGGTATGCGTATGTTCACTCAGTGGTTATTCCTACAAATCTTCTCTTTAAATGCTTTGATGAGTTAAATAGTCAAACTTGTTCTTCGCTCAAACCTTCTTCAGTCACTACTTGTCAGAAAATTGTTTTGTAACTATGAAACCTCAGGGAATCAATTGCTCAATTGCACAAATGGTACATAAGTAAATTAAATCACATATAAACCATGTGAATCTCTTGGCCTTCTTCATTTGTAAAATGAAGGGTTAATGTTTTTTCCTTCACCAACTCAATAGTAGTACTTTCCTACATAATTGATTAGTGTGTTATACAGTTATTCTAATGACTTCTTCGTGGAAAAGCTTTAAAGCAGATATCTTCATCGTAACTTTGACTTTCTTTCTATCAAAATGCAGTCGATTTGGAAAGTTTGTCGAGCTTCAGTTTGACAAAAATGGGAGGATATCTGGAGCAGCTGTCCGAACATATTTGTTGGAAAGGTCTCGAGTGTGTCAAATATCAGATCCAGAAAGAAATTACCACTGCTTTTACCTTTTATGTGCCGCCCCACCCGAGGTATTGGTGCTGCACAATGATACCAATATACCTTGTTGTGAGGCCTTCTGCTTTATATCACAAGAGTTAGTAATTGGGGATTTCGTTTCTTTTCCCAATGTGTAGGAAAGAGAAAAGTTTAAGTTGGGAGATCCCAAGTCATTCCACTACCTAAATCAATCAAAGTGCTATAAATTGGATGGAGTGGATGACACCGAGGAATATCTTGCTACCCGACGAGCTATGGATATAGTTGGCATCAGTGAAGAGGAACAGGTCAGTCTTCCATTTGCTTCTTTTCCAACAAGAAATGATTTATCTGGTAGGGCATCTTATTGATTATTCTGATAATTGCTATCAGGATGCGATTTTTAGAGTTGTTGCTGCAATCCTGCATCTAGGTAATGT